CTGAAAACGGTAAGAATAATAAGGAATCTATGGAAAAAATATGGCACTCACGGTAGCTCAGCAAAACGAAAAACCGTTTACAAATGCACATGTACACACACACATACACATATATATATATGTATTATGGGTGGGTGCTTAATGGTCAGGGCGATGTGAAGCGAAATACTTGAAACAGCGCACGAGTCCATTGCAGTGCACAATTTTATCTCCCTCGAGACATTTGAGGATTTCTAAGCTGAAGAGCGGGAAAGTCACAGGCCTATATGATATTCATGTTTAACTGCTGAAGGCTGGAGGGTGAACCTATGGCATGAGGCTTGCATGCAGTTTTGACTGCCATCTCGTAGTCAGGTTCCATTCCCCTTGACCTGTTCAGGGACGTGGTCATCCCTCTCTGGAAGGGGCATTACACTGCTCGGTATACCAGTATAACTGCTGAGGCACCAGAGACTGGGGCAGTCTGGATTCACTCCTGGCAAGTCCATAATAAACCGTATCCTAGGGCTTAGAGTAATTGTGGAACGCCGTTGCGAGTTCAGTTATGCCTACATCGACCTCAAGAAGGCACAGATTATTGGCCCAATAGCAAGCCTATATACCACTAATGAAAGTGCTGTAAAGTGTGGTGGGGTCCTGTCAAACTTCTTCCCTGTTAATTCAAGGATGAGGCAAGGCTGTGTCCTTGCACTAACACTTTTCAACACCTGCATGGACTGGGTAATAGGCAGAGCCACTATCCAAAGTCAGTGTGGAGCAACACTGGGCAATATCAAGTCTCTGACCTTGACTTCACCAATAATGTTGTTGCTAGTCTCTGGAGTCACCGGTGGCGGCTCTTGATGCATTTAGCAATGAGGCGAAGCCCTTGGGCCTAGAGGCCTTCCAGACCAAGATTCAGGACTTCAGGGGTCTGTTAAGCGAAGGTCACACTAGTCTATTCTGTCCTAGGATCCTCAGATAGCATCGCCGAAGTCTGGTCAGCTACAGAGAGGGATTGGTCACACTACATTCAGTGTTCCTTCAGAGAGAACCATCGTCTCAGTTCAGTGTTCATAACAGTAAACAAAGGCACTTTCCATCAAGGATGCTTTTACGAGTTCATTGCTTAATTCATCCATTAATGTTCTTATCAAATTTCTATTCTTAAAATCCCTATGACTGGTGTCCCACAATGGCCTCTTGGCTCTCACTAAATCCAACAAGAGTAATAGCCTCCAAAGAGAGTTTTGGCGTGTTGGAGTGGGTTGATGTTTATGTTCGTCAAATGAGCGTTTATCTTAATTATCTATAAACCTTTAATGAGGCATCACTGCTTGATGTAATATATCTTTGTATTTTTAAATTTTGTTTATATGATATATAGTCTTTTTTTAAAGATTCTAAGTAACGAGTTTACCAGTAATTGTATTATAGTTTTTGCTTTAGCTATATCTTTCAGCTCTTGTTAGGGATGAAATACCAACATATCGTTTTCGCGCTGAGGAGTATTTTCATCTGGATCCCTTTTATAGCTAGGGAAGTATCTAGCTCTGTAATGGGATTCCTGGACAGAATAGATTAATGTGACCGGCCCTTTAGTGGAGCCCGTTCTGACGATCCATCCTTGTGGTGAGGCAGCAGGCGTCATGAGCAAGAACATTTGGAGATGTCAGTACCTAGGCAGAAGGACCATGCTGTGTCTTCAAGGCCTTGATACTGCCATTTTTGCTCTATGGAAGCGGAACACTAGTGCCTTGGAGTCTCGTCTTAATGCCTTTTGTAACAAGTCTCTTCGACAGATCATAGGAGACAGATGGCAGGACCATGTGTCCAACCGACGGCTACACCGTGAGACTGGCATGGGACCTGTTACCTGCATAATCCGGGATTACCAACTCAGGCTATATGGGCACCTAGCTCGTTTCCCTGTGGATGACCCTGCCCATCAGGTTCTCTGTCTGGGTGTAGGAGGCCCGTAGGACGACCTGGGTGGTCATGGTTTGGATAGGTCGACAAGGAGTTGGAGATGGCAAGTCTTCAGGCAGGCCCTCAGCCCACGAGGGACCCTGGTGGCTGGAAGCGAAGGGGGGATGCGGCCATGCGCCCCCGTCGGCGTTAGCCCCCTTATGATGATGGTGTACATACATGCCGACAACCAGACATATAGACATGTATGCGCATGCATGCCGACGTCCAGACATATAGACATGTATGCGCGTACATGCCGACAACCAGACATATAGACATGTATGCGCATGCATGCCGACGTCCAGACATATAGAAATGTATGCGCATGCATGCCGACATCATTCCCCTTTCAGCAAAGCAAGTGTCAATTATAGCTGGATACTTCTTGAAACTTGAGAATGTTAAATGCTTTTAACCCATTCGCGCCGGGAAAATGTGCTCATTTTTTATGGGTTTTTTAATGAAATTTCTCTACACTAGATGGCTCTGCCTTACCTGATTTCACCTTTACTTGGATTGGCGGGAAAATGTATTTTTACTAGCGTTATGAATATCGATGGTTATTTTTATTAAACATTAAAATTACTATAATGTTATAAACATTAGTAACAGCAAAATAAGGTTACGCAAAATAATTTCATAAATTAAAGTAAAGGGTAAACAGGCGAGACAAGCAGTACAAGTACAAGTTGAGCCACCTATGTTTGAAAACAATTAAACAAGTAAATTCACAATAAGCCCGTCACGTATATTATCAAAAAAGCTTTAAATTCACTGATACTTTCTAAATGATTTTCGTAGCACCATTCGATGCACCATCTTGCAACGGCATAATGAACTAATGTAGGTGTAGGTGAAGGTGTAGATATTTTCACCGTGTGTGTGCGTGCGTGTGCCCGTGTGTGCGTGCGTGTGCCCGTGTGCGCGTGCGTGTGCCCGTGTGTGCGTGCGTGTGCCCGTGTGTGCGTGCGTGTGCCCGTGTGTGCGTGCGTGTGCCCGTGTGTGCGTGCGTGTGCCCGTGTGTGCGTGCGTGTGCCCGTGTGTGCGTGCGTGTGCCCGTGTGTGCGTGCGTGTGCCCGTGTGTGCGTGCGTGTGCCCGTGTGTGCGTGCGTGTGCCCGTGTGTGCGTGCGTGTGCCCGTGTGTGCGTGCGTGTGCCCGTGTGTGCGTGCGTGTGCCCGTGTGTGCGTGCGTGTGCCCGTGTGTGCGTGCGTGTGCCCGTGTGTGCGTGCGTGTGCCCGTGTGTGCGTGCGTGTGCCCGTGTGTGCGTGCGTGTGCCCGTGTGTGCGTGCGTGTGCCCGTGTGTGCGTGCGTGTGCCCGTGTGTGCGTGCGTGTGCCCGTGTGTGCGTGCGTGTGCCCGTGTGCCCGTGTGTGCGTGTGCCCGTGTGTGCGTGCGTGTGCCCGCGTGTGCCCGTGCGCGCGTGCGTGCGCGCGCATGTGCGTGTGCGAGTGCGCGCGTGTGCGTGCGTGTTTAATATTTGGTGATGAGTGGCTAAGCAATAAACATATTTTCAATAAACATAATTCAATAAACATATAAATGTTTAATTACTTTCGATTATTCTGCATGCTTTTTATCTTGGGCTAAAATCTGACCATAATTTTCGCTATTACTCCTCTGAGCTAAACGAGAAAATGCATGTTTGCTCGTTTCAACTCGAGCAACTACTAGCGGAGTGGTTGCAGTTAGGGTAAAAGTCAATGCAGTATCTGATATATTGAAAGAAAAATCTTGTTCATTCTGATAAAACAGGAATTCAATCTCGCTGTCTACTTTTATTTGACACGTATACAATGTTATATTATCTGCGTTATTTTATATGTCAGTGCATGTAAATGCTTTGATACATCATCTTAGTATGTTTAAGATAGAAATACTTATTTCCCTTTGTGTGAAGTCATCTAAACACTGGTTTCTTCACCCAGTTTGAAGAGGAACCATCTGGGGAAAAAAATCGTATATTTGATACTCTTTATAGTAATGGGAAATCCGTGGAGAAAACGAGGCTGCCAAGCTGACACCTTTTTCAAGATGGAAGGAGGGCAATCTGAAATTGTAAATAGAGGCCGCCTCATTGGGGTGTGGTAAAGTAATTCATCTCCCAGTGAAATAACCCGAGAGCCAGCTATCTCCCGCTCGATGGTATACAGGCGAATAAGGTGGAGAGGAGGGCGGCACCCTGAACGACCGCTCTCGTTCCGGATGCCCCTTCTCCAGGGCAGCTGAAATTCATAGAAAGACCTTCAGCTTCCGCTAGCAAGCCGCAAAACGACTACATTCAGATGGGATTCATCACAGAACGTTATCAAAGAGGTTGAACAAACAGCAGTATGTGGAGAGCGCACGGGAAGCTCCATTGCTGGATGAGAAATATGTGTTAATATTGTCCTTTTTCAATTTGCCCATTGATTCAGTTCAAATTTTGATAAAGATATGTTTATACGTCATATTTCATGTTCTGATTCTATATCATTATTCACTTTTCAGATGTGGCAGACGACATATCTGTGAAACAGCGAGGAATGGCCACGTGACCAATACTAAATGGGGTGGATTTTCATTCATGGCGTTTTGAAATTGTTAGAAGAAACATTTCTCCCATCAGTACGTTGCTATCCTTTGGCCCTACCCATAAGCAAATCAGGAAAACTGCCCAATACACGCATCAAATGGGTCGGTGACCTAAACCACATGGAAGTCCTTCCGCGGTTACACGGACACACAGACACACACACACGGAGACACACACACACACACGGACACACAGACACACACACACACACGGAGACACACACACACACACGGAGACACACACACACACACGGACACACAGACACACACACACGGACACACAGACACACACACACACACGGAGACACACACACACACACGGACACACAGACACACACACACGGAGACACACACACACACACGGAGACACACACACACACACGGAGACACACACACACACACGGAGACACACACACACACACGGAGACACACACACACACACGGACACACAGACACGGACACACAGACACACACACACA